GGGAGCACATACTGTATAGGCAGCCTGACTGACATGCTCTGACAGAACACACACACACACACACACACACACACACACACATGCACACACACACACACACACACACACACACACACACACACACATGCACGCACGCACACATGCAAAGACGTGTGAAAGCGCTCAGAGAAGCCAGAGTGTGCATCAATGTATGGGCTGAATGGGTGTGTGTGCACAAACACAGTGTGTGTGTGTGTGTGTGTGTGTGTGTGTGTGTGTGTGTGTGTGTGTGCACGCAGGCCTCCCCAGCTGGGCCCTGTCAATCATTCATGACCTCACACTCAGAGAAACAGAGGAGGTTGAGGTGGACAGGCATGAAGGAAGAGAGGAGATCGTGTTTCTGAATTTTTCTTTTTGTCTGTGTGAAATAAGTCAAGGAGGGGCCAATGAGCACCGAAAGCCCTACAAGGAGGTTCGGTCGGAGTGTGAGTGCAGATGTAGCAGTGTGAATAACACACCGCTGCTGGAACCTCGCAGCCCGAATTCAACATCCTTCACCCTGAACAAGTGACAAAAAGATAACCACGTTTCACTTCAGCGCTTCACGCCCCTTCTCTCCCTGCTTCCTCACCCCCCCCGCACTCTTACTGTCTTTCCACATGGCTGGCCATCCTCTCCCATGTCCCGGAGGACGGGAGGCTGTGCAGCAGCTTGGCAGGCTGTCAGGGGAACATGTAGTGACTGGAACAGGGGTGGCGATGGGTTGGGGAGGAAGGCCCTTGCCTCACTGCAGACCTGGAGGAACCACCCCAACCTTTGCAACTCCAGGCGAAAGATCCTTCACTCGTCTTTTTTCCTCCACATAAAAATAATTGCTGCCACACACAGCTGGAAATAACACGGCGATGATCGCCGTGGCAGCCGGTGCCAATCACACATTCTCACTCAAACACAAAGCCAGCATACCAACTTGTTACCTTTATTGACCTGCAGTCGCACACATCCTGGGGAAATCAGAGCAATTTCAAAAATGGCACCACTCAGCCGAGAAAAGCATGATTCCATCAGGTCCCTGTGCAATCTGAGCAGTGATTTCTGGTGTATAACATGTGGGGGGCCAAACACTATTCTGTCAAAAGTTATGACCTTTGACAGGGAAAACTAAATTGTATTTCTATTGAAATGTAAAATCAAACCAGAGCTGCTGGCAACAGGTTTACGGTCTAAAGGGACTTCACCATCAATCTGTTCTTCTGCTCTCAAAGCTCGACCGTTTCTCCAGAACGGAATCTTGAGGTTGTTGGAAAACAGAGAAATTCTTCAAGATGGCAAAAATATGATGATTTGAAGAAACGGAAATGCTGAAATAAGGTGGAAAGTTCTTTAGAAATGCTGCAAGAGTTACAGAAGACCTTTTATGACTTTTTTCTTCGGTTACAATAGTTCTATGGTCAATAACACGCATGTTCACGATGCTCTTCACCCTAAATCCCTCTCACATTAAGCGATTACAGGAGTTTTATTATTCACAGTTTCAGTACCTTACAGAATGAGCCCTTTCAGGCCACGCCCACCCACCTACTGATTGGTTGCTACAAGCTGGAAGGCTCTGATATCTGGGAGGGGCTCAGAGTAGAGCTGCTGCTCCTCCAACAGCAGCTGCTCTTCTCCGCTCGATTAGCTAATCTAATTTCCTCGTTTGTGATGTCACAAACGGGGACTTTTTAAACCACTTGTTTTGGGTGAATTATTTCTAAATCAGAAGGACATTTTTTCATAACTGGTGTGTTTTAGAGGCAGCAGAGACCCACTTGGCAGCACAAAAGGACGCAAAAGGTGGGTTTTCTATAACGCGATCATTAAGCGATTACAGTTGTTTTATTATTTACAGTTTCAGAACCTTACAGAATGAGCCCTTTCAGGCCACGCCCACCCACCCACTGATTGGTTGCAATAAGCTGGAAGGCTCTGAAATCTGGGAGGGGCTCAGAGTAGAACTGCTGCTTCTCCAACAGCAGCTGCTCTTCTCCGCTCGATTAGCTAATCTAACTTCCTCGTTTGTGATGTCACAAACGGGGACTTTTTAAACCATTTGTTTTGGGTGAATTATTTCTAACTCAGAAGGACATTTTTTCATAACTGGTGTGTTTATAGAGGCAGCAGAGACCCACTTGGCAGCACAAAAGGACGCAAAAGGTGGGTTTTCTATAACGCGTCCCCTGTAACGTAAATGTTTAAATAGCTCTGATGTTGCCGTTTATTTTACGCATGGGCACAGCATTCTGTTTCTCCAAGACATTACGTTTTAAAAGATCGAAGGGACACTGCAACTCTCAGTTGTGATAAGTTACTAAAGCAGATTTTCCCTTTGGTCTGTCTTCAAAAACTCCCGCCACATCACACAGCAGACTCATCTCAAAACAAAAACATGACACTTTGCCGACCCGCTCTCCCTCGCTTCTGACAGGAAGAGAAGGGAGAAAAGATGACAGCAGCTTCAGATCTGACATCAAACGCCAGAGAGAGAGAGAGAGAGAGAGAGAGAGAGAGAGAGAGAGAGGGAGGAAAAGAAAGGAGGAGGGGAAAAGAAAAAATCAGTTACATCTCCACCGTGACAGCTTGCTCGAAGAGCTTTGGCAAATGCCGAGCAATTTCTCTCTCCTTCCCCTTCTATCTATCCATCTCTATCTCTCTGCGTCTCTCTCATCAAAACTTGCTGCCGATTAGGATCTCGGCGAGCCTTTGGATGGGATGTGAAAACACACAGAGAACCCAAGGGGTACAAAAAAAGCAACAACAAAAAAAAAACTAAAGCGCCAGGATGAAAGTGGTGAGGGAGTACAGGGTGATAGTGGTGCTGGTTCACATAGATCGGCCCCTACGCGACTGCAGTGGCTCCTCGCCTTGTCTTGTTCTCTCGCTGCAGATTCACACGTTGTTACATCAAGGCCATTTCTCATTATAGCATCGGGAGGGGGAAGAGCTTTCATGATGCTACTTTAGAGGGAGAGGGGTAAAGAGGGTGGGAGAATGAAAATGGAAGAAAAAGCAGATGACATGCTATTAGCATGTTGGGAAGGAAGAAGATAAAAGTGCGCGTGCGAGAAGAGGGAATAACGGGAATCCCTTGACAAATGACGGAAAAGTCAACGCTGATCCGAAACAAAGACAAACCCACCATCGGAACGCACCGTCAACACATTTAGACTTGGTTGGAGTCTGCACACTTAATTTAGCTCTTTTTTGCAGCTTATTCCTCCACTCCTGGGGCCGATCCAAACTATCTGGTGAATTCAACTGCAGGCATCTCAAGCAGAGCCAATATTTGTGGCCAAATGTCTATTTATTCTATTTTTGAAAGTGCTGAGAAGCTGTCGGGAGAGAAAATGATGATTAGTGCAGCCAAAAAAAAAAAAAAAAAAACCAAGAGCAACCCTCACACTGTAGATCAGCCTGGTCACTCTAACTCCTCTCAATACTCCTCCAGTCAAGCTGCTTAGCGGTTTGCAGCTCGACCGAACGCTGAGAGGCTGCGCATGTGGATTTGTACGAGCGTGGGGAAGATGTCTGTCCGGATGCATATGCTTCTGTTTCCATGTGGGTGTATGTGCGAGTGAATATGGTGTTTGCACCGCGGGATGACACACGTGGCCCTTCGCCGTGAGGACCAAAGCTCGGATGTAAGCTCCGAGACGAATGGTCACATCCCCTGAGATGACGGGACAAAGCAGGAGGTCACGGGGTGAGATGAGGATTCTGACTGGACAAAAGAGCTTAAAGCTTAAAGTGGCACAGTCAGATTGAAACATTAAACCTCGTGCTGGGAGGAGACTCGTTTTGACGTGGTTTCAGGACACGTGCAATAATAAGCAACGTTTCCCGCTTCTCCTCTCCTACTGGTTGAAAGCGGAATTACAACCATTGTAAACAACCTTGCCACAAGCTGTGCAGACAACATTAACCCTCCCACTGTCCTAATGGGCGTGACCCCACAAGGAAAGTTGACCATTGAGCAGGATTGATGGTTTATCCCTTGAGGTCCAGGTGGCAGGGGTGAGGAGTGAGCACCACCTCACCCCTGCCACGTGGACCTCAAGGGATAAACCATCAATCCTGCTCAATGGTCAACTTTCCTCACGGGGTCACCCATAAAGACAGTGGGACAGTAAAAGAGCAAGTCACCCCCTACCAGAGTATTACTCAACTCCCACTTCCTGTTTGAAAAATGCAACAAATGCTGTTGCCTAGTAGGCCGAGAGGGCGGAGCCACTAACAAATACACACACACAGGCTCACAACGACATTGTGACATCATAATGTACCAGCTAACGTTCTAGGGTACCTCTTAGCCAATAGCGATGGCAGATTTAAATTCAACTGCAGTGCAGAGTTTTTACCTGACAACGGCACAACACCGACTATTTTAGACAGAAAATTTAAATTTTAACTAAAACGCACTAAAGTGCAAAACTATTGTCTGCAGCACGACTAGACACGCATTTATATAGTTTATCAAGAAAAAAAGTAGATTTGGGGTTGACTTGCTCTTTAAGGTGTTGTATTTTACATGTCCTTATGCATGTTTGATTATTGGAAGTTCAGAAACGAAGACAATTACTTTGCTTGATTGTTTTTTAGATGATTTGAAACTAAAACCAACTTTTTTTTTTTGGCTTCACCTCCAAAGACATTATCCTCTTACTTTTATTTCCAGACTGCAATGATGTCAACAAAAAGGTAAACATCCTCTTATTTCTCTTCTTCTTGTGCTTTTCATTGAAGGACTGAAAAAGCTAACTGCTAGCCTTTATATGAGCCACCTACACAGTAAAGCTGTAAAGCAGCTGGAGAGCTCCCGAACCAACAAGATGTTTCTGGTCAGGAGACCACGTGAAGTAGCTCAGGTTTCTGGCTCAAGAACCACCAGAACCAGCTTGAAAGCAGTAGCTTTAAGTGTTGAAAACTCTTTAGTGAAACGTCATCAAGGCTTCACACGTTGGAGTCAACAAATAATCACTCACCGGCAGACTGGAGGGGCGATCGTGTGGAACGCCATCCTCATTGGGCTTCCCCGAATTCCCTGGACCTCTGATGCTGTAGGTTTCCTGCTGGGCCTCCTAACAATATAAACAACATGAGAAGGATATTAGGGCATCGTGTTTTGATGTACAAACACACTCACCAGCCACCAGCTCCGGTTCAGCTGGCAGTGTACATGAAAATCTAATCAGCCAATCACATGGCTCAATGCATTCAGGTGTCAAGAAGTGCTGAAGATGACTTTCTGAGGTTCAAATGCATCAGCAGAAGATTGTAGTGACTTCGACATGGTTGTTCTTTCAGAAGCTGTTGGTCTACTGGGATTTTCACCCACAACCCCACTAGGGTTTACAACGGTTCATCAGAATAAGATAAAGCACCTGGTGAGCAGCAGCTGTGTTGGCAAAATGGTTTCGTTGAAATCGTTACTCAGAGAAAAACGGACAAGCTGGTTTTAGATGATAGAGAGACAACAACATCTGCAGTCGACGAACTGAAGACCAAACCAGCGCCCCCTCCTGTTAGATAGGACCGGAAAACCACAGCACACACCAGAAAAACTTTCCAGGTTAGGTCTTAATGTCAGCTTGGGTCAAGATTTGGAGTCACCAAAATGAAAGCTTGGATCCACCCTGTCTTGTAGCAGTGCTTCAGGCTGCTGCCGCTGGTGTGATGGGGTGGGTGAGAGTCCCACCTGAGCCTACCTCACTACTGCTGTCCGTCCCTTTATGACCACATGGACCCATCTACTGATGGCTGCTCCCAGCAGGACAATGCACCATGTCACAAAGCTCAGATCATCTCTAACTGGTTTCTAGGACATAACGATGAGTTAACTGGACTCCAAATCTCAACCCTGGATCAGGACGTGTTGGAATCGGAGATTAGAATCATCTAGCTGAACCCCGGAGGAATCTTTCCAAACACACCGCCCGTGAGTTTCAGATAACTATGAGGAAAAGTGCACAAATATCAATAAAAAAAGCAACGCTTTGTCCATTTTTATGCAAATACACAAGTGAGATTCAAGATCTGCACACAACACAGCTAATAATTCAGAGAATCTGATAGCTTAAATGCTTGGTTCACCCCCTCTGTCAGCGCGCCCCAGGGCAGCTGTGGCTACATCGTAGCTCATCACCATCAGTGTGTGAATGCGTGTGTGAATGGATGAATGATACACTGTAGTGTAAAGCGCTTTGGAGTCCTTACTCTGAGAGACGCTATACAAATGCGGGTCATCATTATAACCAATAAACAGAAAAGGAAATTGTGCAGGAAAACGCGCTTTGAAGCAGCCATGTTACAACAAGCTGCACAGACGGACAGGTGGAAGGCTGAGCAGTAAAATAACTCGCCTCCAGGACATATTTGTTGGGCCTCTGATGTAAAAAATTAGATTCTAGCTTTCCAGGAATAAACACGTATTTCCAAAACTAACAAACCGCATGTATGGTTGTATACATTTCCTGTAATGTGGGTACTTTAGTCCTTTATCTTTTTCTAATAACAGCAGATTAAACCTTTTTCAGCCACACCGGCGGGAGTGTTACAGAGCGGAGGAAGCAGATTGGACAGATAGATGTGTTTTAGGGTTGCAGGCTTGTAATAGACTCAGATATTTCCAGTCAGATCGAGCCACAACTCAAAAAGGCGAGCTGCACGAGGAACACACACACACACACACACACACACACACACACACACACACACACACACACACACACACACACACACACACACACACGCTGTTAGAGTTCATGCAGACTGAAAAGCCATCCAGACTATCAGCACAGCAGCAATTCATTCCCACTAAATCCCACCCACTAATCCCCCAAACATACACACTCACATATAAACCCACATCAAGACACGCGCTCTGTCCCATTGTTCAATCCAAGTCATTTTCTTTCCCTCTGTAATCACAAGCCTATCTAGTGTAAACCAATTTTCTCTCCATTGTCGGAGGTGTTGCCCTCTCCCTCTCCCTCACTCAGTATCTCTCCCTCCTTCCCTCTGCCTCTTCTTTTCGTTCACCATGAAGGTCGTTCCTCCATCATGTAAAGCGTCGGCAGCACAATGGCAACTTGTTAAAGAGCTCTGAGTGGAGGGATTAGTGATAACTGATCAGCGAGTCGCAGCGAAGAGATCACACGCGAGTGCTTGAACACACACACACACATGTTTATGCCACACACACACACGTACACAAAGTGTCTTCAGGTTTTGTTGTTTATTTTTTTTACTCTGTAAATCCATCTCTCCTCACAGTTTGATTTCTTATCCATTGTGTGATTAGACTGTAGCAGGTGGGCAATATTCCTGTCAGCAAGGTGATATCATTTTATAGCGGGAGATAATCCTTCACAGCAGGAGACGCATTATGTGAAAACTGATCTATTATTAACTGCTAAAGCATTTGTGGGTTCAGGCTCTGATTGATGTAGAAATGATCGGTGCCTTTGCTGAGTGCAGCGCTCCAGCGCGTGGACGCCTTTAGCCAACTCCTTCACAAGCTACAAACACCAATTCCAATCACTTTGAATTTGTCAGGTTTTATGATCAAATGGCATCCATATTTTTATCTAGAATAAATGTGATAATGTGCAAAAAAACCCTGAAATTATAAAACAATCATTAAAACCAGCAACATTGCTCGCTGTGGCTCTTATTGTGAAAGGTTTGTATAGGAAGTTATGATCCACTTTGGTGGAAGTGATGCCGTTAGGGTAATAAAGTGGACATTCAGACTCATTAAACCAAACGGACTCGTATTTTAGCTGTTTTATTAAGTCCTTGTGCTCTGAGCCGCTGGTTCCAGCAGCACAAAGAATTTAACAAGCAGAGCGCAAGTAAAACTTTTAAAAGGCATCTCATTTCAAAGACTACATTTGGCTAAAAAGTTAGCCCTCTTTGCATTAGGTGATGCATTATTGTAAATATGGGTTCAAGTGTTCTATCGTCTGATTTACTTTTAAATATAGAATAAAACTGAGCAATGGGAACTTGAAATTACATTAATAACTGAAATATATTCTAAATAATTTGAATGTCTGAATTACTTTAGTCTATATGATGGTCTGCAGCTTCCATTGTTGCAGGAAAATTACATTTTGTTTCAAAAAGGCTTCAAAACCACATGTACACTGCAAAAACTGATTTTCAAGAAATGAACTCATTCACTGCCATTGACGACCAAAGTTGTCATTTGCATTTTTTTACTGTGTGGGCGTCGGAACGAGCCCCCGCACCGTGAGAACAAACATCCCAGCTCTAAAGCCGATCTTCATCCACGTACGTCACAGATCACGTGATCAGGAAGCAGAAAATCCATGTGTTAGGAGATGGTTTTGGGCCGCTGCTGTAAAAAAAAGTGAGGCGCGAACCGGAAACGCTTCTGCCGATCACAATTCAACAACGGATTATGAAAGAACGGATAATGCTTGACACGCGTGGATTCTTCCTGATGTAAGAGGTGAGTCTCCTCTTTGTTTTGGTTGTTTTGGCGTTGACATCATCCTAGCGTGCAACGTTCTGTGACTCTTAAAAAAGCAGTGAAAACGCTGAAAAACGCTGGCAGCGAATGAGTTAAAAAAAATCATTGTTTTTAGACATTTCTCTTATTTTGAGTCCACACAGAAAAAAGCTTTTATCAGCAAAAGCAGGACTGAAATAAGGTGAATATCCTTAAATATCCAAATAAATCTTAGTTTAGATTCTTTACTTAATTTGAAGAATTATAGCCTAGCAACTTTTGTTTACCCCATTGGCAGATTTTTAAAGGAATATTTATCATATTTTAAGAAATGCAATTTTTCTGGGTAGGTTCACGGCCGAGTGTGAAGCGGCTGGGACGAGGATCAGCACCTCCAAATCTGAGACCATGGTTCTCGACCGGAAAAGGGTGGCTTGCCAACTCCGGGTCGGGAGAGAGGTCCTACCTCAAGTGGAGGAGTTTAAGTATCTCGGGGTCTTGTTCACGAGTGAGGGTAGGAGGGATCGGGAGATCGACAGACGGATTGGATTGGCGTCTGCAGTGATGCGGACGCTGAGCCGATCTGTCGTGGTGAAGAGGGAGCTGAGCCAGAAAGCCAGGCTCTCGATTTACCGGCCGATCTACGTCCCAATCCTCACCTGTGGTCATGAGCTTTGGGTAATGACCGAAAGAACGAGATCGCGGATACAAGCGGCTGAAATGAGTTTCCTCCGTAGGGTGGCCGGGCTCAGCCTTAGAGATAGGGTGAGGAGCTCGGACATTCAGGAGGGACTTGGAGTAGAATCGCTGCTCCTCCGGATCGAAAGGAGTCAGTTGAGGTGGTTTGGGCATCTGGTCAGGATGCCTCCTGGACGCCTCCCTGGGGAGGTGTTTCGGGCATGTCCTGCCGGCAGGAGGCCCCCGGGTCGACCCAGGACACGTTGGAGAGGTTACATCTCCAATCTGGTCCGGGAACACCTTGGGGTCCTGCCGGAGGAGCTGGTGGACAAGGCCGGGGAGAGGACGGCCTGGAGCTCCCTAATTGGGATGCTGCCCCCGCGACCCGGACCCGGATAAGCGGAGGAAGACGACGACGGCAATTTTTCAAGAGAAGTTTATTACAAAAAAATGTGTTTACAAATTTAGCTGAAACTGAAGTTGATCATAAATCCATTTTTTTTGCTATAATCAAACATCTTGCTACCCATGACAAGTGGTTCAGCTGACTGTGGCAGAGACGTTATTATAATGATTATAGCCATATTCAAAGATGTCTATTTAATGCTGTGCATCTCTATTATTCACTAAAACTTTCTGATAAATGTAAAGTCCTTAAATGAAAATCTATTATGTTAATTTAAAATGACTTTGCTGCATTCATGCCTGCGATCCTGCTCCGTTTGTGCAGCTGAGTTGTGCTGCTTACAGGTAATTAGTTCTCTGGTCTCTCTTGTTAAAGAGATCCTAATCTTATTTAGACATCAAGAAAAACACTATTTGCATTTCAAAAAACAAACACAATGAGGACAACAAAAACGTTCACCCCCAACCAAAGGAAAGAAAATTCAACATGAATTATTCGTGCCTCCACTGCTTTTATTC